GCCACCACACTGTCTCAATTGCCCTCTCAGGGTACCCTGGGGGTGGGGCCGGCACTGCAGGGATCAAACGCTCTGCCCCTGCACCTGCTTGAAGGTGCTTTAATCCGCTGAGCTATTTGGCTGGTCGCCTAAACCCTTCTCTGGTCTGCCTTTCTCCCACTAGAAGCCGGCTGGCTCTCTCCTCCTCTTGCTGGTGGGTTTGGCCACTGATGTGCTTCAGCTAATGGTTCTGCGCGGGGCCTTCTTTCTGCTTAAGCCTCCCACTCCTCTGCTATTGCCATAAAAAGAAAAGAACAGCCTGTTAGTGCAGAGAAAGGCAGAGCAGATGCCTCCAGCCTACAGAGGAGAGCCACTTGGCAAAGCTCAGCCCCACGGAGCAAAGCCCTGCAGTGACTGCCATAGACTGTGACCCCTCTGGATGCCGAGGGTTGCCGTGAGCCCCACATGCACTCCATGGCTGTGCTGTGACGGGGACCTCACCGCTGCCTGCCTTGTGGGACAAGGGGGTATAGTTCCTTTCTTTCTTGGGACTGGAAATGAAAGATGACAAACATAGTACAAGGCTGAGCATTCCTAATTTGAAAATCTGAAATTGGGACTGTTCTAACATCTGAAACTTTTTGACCACTCGCAGGATGCCACAAGAAGAAAGGTACACAACACACCTATCTTCTGTTGTACATAGACTTTGCTTCATACACAAAATTATTCAACTCGTGGTGTAAAATTACCTTCTGGCTACCTGTGTAAGGTCTGTGTATGACACGGTCTTGAGTTCCACCCTCACGACAGAACTCAGTTCATGAACACTTTTGCTTCTGAACGATTTAGTTCACAAGCAAAAGCATTTCAGCAAAATTTGGTTTTTGTTTGCAAACTCTACATCAGGTGACTAACATGACCCTGACCCCCTTTCCTACACATACACAAACATCGTCATCTTTTCCAAAATCATGGAACAAATTAAGTTTGTGAATGGAGGTATCACTATATCTCGTTATATATGTGTGAATATTTCAAAATAAAAAAAAAAATTCCCAAATCTGAAACACTTCCGATCTAGAGCATTATGAATAAGAGACATTCAACTACAGTGGAGAAGAAGCTAGAGGAGGGGAAGTAGAAACGGAATTCAGGGCAGGAAGACACTCCTCTCTCAGGAGGCCCCAGAGGGAACTGATGGCACCTATGGCTGAGATCTAGATGCACTCACAGGTACGGCTTTTGGAGGTGGCTGGATTTAGGGTGTGGGGTACTAGGATTAAGTCTGTGATAACCAAATAGGTTTAGCACGGTTCTATGAAGCCCCATCCTGGGCCAGGATGCACTACTCAATAGGCTCACATCCTAGGTGGAACAGAAAGGGAGAGAGGGAAGGCAGGCTTGCGGCTGCTGCTGCTTGCTGCTTCACGCTCTCCTCCTGCCTGTTTCCCATGGACTGTTTCTACTCTGTGATGCCCTTCTGCCATGCCACACTGCTGGGGAGTCAGCCGGCTTTGGACTGAATCCTCCACAAACCTTTCATCCTTTAACTTTAGGTGTTTGCTATTTTTGTTTCATCAACAGGAAAAGTAAGGGCTGACCAAATAGCTCAGTGGATTAAAGTGCCTGCAAGCAGGTGCAGGGGCTGGGTGTTTGATCCCCAGGCCTGCTGTTCCAGTCCCGCCCCTGAGGAGTGCTGAGATGTCAATTGAGACTGGGCGTGGTGGCGCGTGCCCGTAATCCCAGCACTTGGGAGGCTATAAACCAGAGAATCACTATGAGTCTGTTCTAGTAGTAAGACCCTAAACACCTTGTAGACCCTTCTCTAAATAACAAAAAACAAAACCAAAAACAAAACAGGAAAAGTAACTAAGATAGTAGTCCTGCTTAGAGAGAAAGGAGAAAAGAAAGGAAGGGAAAAAGAAATATGTATGTATATATGCAGGATAGCTTGGATAATTGTACTGCTGATTTCCGCTGGGCTATTGAAAGGAGCAGCTGATGCTTAATATTTTTTCTTTTCTTTTTAGTTTTTTTTTCACTAATTTTGCATGTTTATACCTGGTGATCTGAACAACTAATTTGAAGGTAACAGTACACCATTTAACTACCATTGTTGGGGGCCTGGCCTAGCTCAGTTCTTTAAGTGGCTGCTTCCACAAAGCTGTCAGCTTCAGGTTGCTGGAGTTCGATCCCCACAACACCGCAGCCAGCCAAACCTGCCCTGAAGGCATTCAGAGAAAAAAAAAAAAAAAAATCCTTAACTACCATTGTTAAATTCCTATCATTTTGTTTAGTAAAATTTTGCATCATTTCTTTCTTTTTTTTTTTTTTCTATTTCTTATTCTCTTTAAAAAATAAATAAAATAAAATAAAAAAGAAGGTAGCCCCAGGAAGGCAGCCTGCACCAGCCCCAGCACATGTCAAGGCCAAGGTCAACTCAAGGTAGGCCATGACAGGGCAGAAAGAAACAGCCCTGATCTGGGCCAAACTACCCCTTCTTCAGGTTATTAAGATTTCTTTCCTTCTTGCTTGGATATCTCACTCTTCAATAGGCTCAATGTACACTGAGTGAGCTCTTTATCCTCTTCACAAAATGATAAGAAGAGATTTTCTTTACTTTTTAAAGTATGGTCATGCCCACCTGCACAATTAATTAGCCCCTAATTCTTTTTTCCCCCTGTGGCAATTCATTTTACTCTTATGAAGCAGTGGTACCCTGTTTTTCTAAAAATATGCCTTCACAGATTGCTGCCTACAAAATCACCGCACTCTGCCACACTTGCACCTGTAGGTTCACTCTATCTGCTCACCCTGCTGTGCTTGTCCCCACACAAGAGGCTGAATCGGTGGTCAGCAGCTGCGGGCTGCACTGCCCGAGGAGCCTGAGTCGGGGCCTCAGTGGCTGTGGAAGCAGTGGAAGAGGCAGGCTGCAGGCCTTGTCTCTCTGCGGGCCTGGCAGGCAGCATCTGGAGGCTCCCAGCAGCCTCAGCCCACCCATCCCCTGGTGCCCAGTCTGCTTTTACAGTGGGGGTGGCTGGCTAGCCCCCTCTGAGTCCATGGTGGTTTGGATTTCTGAGGCTGGACCAAGAAACTGTATCTGAGTGTGGAGTGGGCTGTGGGAGGAAAATGAGCCCCTTCCCAGGCCTGGCCCCAGGAAGAGAAGAGGCTGGACTGCTGAAGCCTGTAGAGGACCAGCAGGAACCCCAGGCTAGGTCTTGTAAGGGGGACCTAGCTCTTTGGGAGGCTAGGAGGAGAGTGGTGGCAGACAGGGAACAGGGCCCTCTTTCCTCCTGTGCTGGGATCTGTTGGTGTCTCAGTGTGATCCATTGTACCCCAGGGAGAAATGGTGGCAGGAGTGAGGAAAAGACAGACAAGGAGACAAATTGGGCCAAGTGCTGGCCTGCTGCTCATTGGTGAATGAACCCCAGAACAACAGTAGGGGCATTTATTTATATCTTTGCAAAGTTAGCATCAGGTGACATAAGGTTGCCTAGTGACTAATTGCTGACATGAACCAGTCAGGATGTTTCTCTCAGGACTGAGGTAGCTTGACTGCTTTAGGCACTGAGGCCTAGTTCCACTCTCACACATTTGATTTCCACCTTCCATGGTTCCCAACACTCCTGGGCCCAGGACGGCCTCAGCGGAGTGTGGAGACACTCTAGCTCTTAGGTCCCTGGCCACAGGCTGGGCCTCATGAGCACACTGAGCTCCCAGCAGAGGTACATACACTGGTGAGGGGCTGCGTCTCCCCCTACCTCTAAGCCAGGGCCAGCCCCACCATCTCACACCTCAGTCCGGTGGTCAGTGGAGGCAGAACCAAGGCTCCATTTTGAACTATGGTCTGTAAGTGACAGGGCTCAGCCCATGGGAAGGAATCGTACCTGTGGGCCCATAACAGCCACACGCTTGTTCTAAACTAAGGCAAAAATTGCTGATTTGGTTGGAACACTACAAGAAAAAGTAGAAAAGGTCACATAACTCATTGTATGCTATTTTCCAAATATTTTTTTCTTGTATTATTTATCACATCTCCCTCCATTCTCTCCTACCTCTCTCTCTCTCAAATGTAAATATGCTTTGTGTGTGTGTGTGTGTGTGTGTGTGTGTGTGTGTGTGTGTGCAACGCTCCTTCTTATCTTCTCCTTGGCCCATTTTCCCCACAAGCATAGTTCAGCCACACTGCTCCAAACATTCTAAATACATTTTAGGGGACATTAAGACCTAAGTACATGAGGGACAGAGGCTGTAGTATGACTTGGAGGTTGAGGGTGCTATTTCAGGGATGGATAATGTGATGAGATGTGTTGGAGAGGTCAGTTGGCAGTAAGCACATCTACACTCACCAGCTTCCACCCTTTGCCTCTACCTCTGGCAAAGTGTCCTGGGACCCTAGAGGGTAACAGTGCCTAAGTGTAAACCTATGCTTTTGCTCCTGGCTTCGCCTGGACATCCCTGGCCACAGGCAGGACCCTTGCCTCCCATAATAAAATGATCAGAACCTGGATGTGATTGGCACAAGGAAGCAGGCAGACAATACAAAGTCGAGCTGCAGAGCCGGGCAAGCTGCCTACAGAGGAGTCCTCAACAGCTGTTCACTGCAGGCTCTTCATTCCAACCCCAAGTCCCGCAGCTACAGTTTCCCCACTTCAGATCGACCTCATGTAGCAAATCTACAAACAGACCCCTACACAAGGACAGCTAGCAGCCTGGCCCCAAAGAAGAAACAGTCAAAAGCTGATACAAATGCTCAAAAAGAGGCATTTTGTGAAGAGGTAAGCTGCTCACCACAACATACTGGCCTACAGACGTCGCTGTGCTGCACTACAGGCCAATGAACAATTAGGACTCTGAGTAATAACACAGGCTATGTGGGAAAGTGAAAGGATACCAGTGTGATCTGTTCAGCATGGCTGCTGCGAAAAGATGGCAGCATGGAGAAACGCCCCCTAAAGGACAGCAGTGGTCACTGCATGGCAACTGCGACCTGGCATGTGGAGCTGGAAATGACCTACCTCTGAATGTTATCTTCGAGTTGCTTGACTCTGAACTCATCCTCCTCAGACTGCCGCCGCCTGTCTTCCTCCTCCTCGGCCGTTCCTGCGGGGATACCCTGCAGCAGCCATTTTTCCCGAAGCACTTTGGACTGTGGAAGTGAAGACAGACAGCACACAAGATGTCACTTTTCCATCCCCAGGGTTGCCGTTTTAGCTCTGTACCCCAGCAGGGCTCATGCGAATGACTGCTTTCACCTCCTCCCTGACTTTGGGCTTATTTCTACTTTTTATTTTTGTTCAGTTAAGTTCTTGCTGAGAACCTATCACAAAAATTCCTACTTTACACAACTTTTGTTTATTATTATTATTATTATTATTATTATTATTATTTTGGTAGAGGATTTCACTATGCAGCTTGGACTTGTAGTGATCCTCCTGTCTCAGCCTCCCCAGCACTGAGATTACAGGCCTGGACCACCACACCCATCTGGGGTTCCAGGGCCGGCATAGCATGTGGCATCAGGGATTGAACCTGGGTCCTTGTGCTTGCTAGGCAGGTGCTTAGACCACTAAGCTATCTCTCCAGCACAACTTTTATTTTTAGTCAAGAGACAAAAACAGAGAAATTATTTCACACACACACACACACACACACACACACACACACATACAGGTTTGTAGGTTTATATACAGGCACATGTATTTTTCCCCGAGATGGTGCTGGGAAATGCAAGAAATAAGGAAAATAAGGACAGGGATTGGGTGGGTATAGATATATGTATTATAGGGTGTGGCCCAAAGGCCTCATCAATAAATGACATTTCAGCAAGGATCTGTAGGAAGCAAGGACAATCATACAATCATCTGCAGAAAGTGTCCCCCAGAAAGTTCTTGATGTCTATTTTTTGTATTATCAAAAAACAGAAAAATACAGTGAATTTTATAATAAATACATCATCTTACCTAGATCTAACAATTAAAAACAGTTTGGCACATTTTCCCATATATTTTCACCAATGTATTGTAAAGTATATATCAAAGACTATGGCATTTCACCCACAAATATTTCAGTATAATGTTAAAACATCTTTTAAAAAAGGACATTTTTCTTTTTTAAAAAAAATTATTTATTTATTTGTGTGTGTGTGTGTGTGTGTGTGGCCAGCTCAGCCCACCAGGGGGCGGGGCTGGCTGGCATGTGGTGCTGGGGGATCGAACCGTGGTCCCTGTGCTTTGCTAAGCTTGTTCTAAGTAGGTGCTTTAGACCACTGAGCCATCTCATCAGCCCTAAAAAACGACATTTTTCTATGCAACTACATTTCCATTATAAAATGTCCTGATTGCCTAATAGCCCATCCATGTGTAAATGTTCTTTTAAAAAGATTAATCTGGGCCAGGGAGATGGCTCAGTAGAATAAGTGCTTCCCTGGCAAGCACAAGGGCCTGAGTTCAATCCCTGGTTCCGGAAAAAAAAAAAAAAAATTAATCTGTCATGCCTCTTCTTTAAACCTCTTTAGTAAATCCCAGACCTACTCAGCAGTGATCTTCAATATCACTAAAATCGTACTCCTCCCCAGTGTCAGAGGAGTAATAGACCATGGAGTGGAATACAAAGGTTTTTGTTTCAGGTCAATGGTACAGAAGGAACAATTAGTGCCTCAAGAAAGGAAATGAAAACATCTAAAATGAGAGGCATCTCTAATTCTAAAATCAGGAACAAGACACTGATGTACACTATCACCACTCCTATTCATATTCTAGAAACATTACCCAGAGCAATTAAAACAGAACAAAAATAAAAAGAATAAAAATAGGAAAAAATAAAAAAAAAATAAAAAAATAAAATGAGAGGCACGTTGAAAAGCCCTAGTCCGAACGGCAAGGGGAGGCAAGTGACAGAGGCGTTTCCAATTCCATGCCCCCCAGATGGCAGGTAGCAGCGACAGACTCTCCACAGAGGTCAGGCCTTGTGCACAAGCACTGAGACCAGCCAGACAGCATGCACAGCCAGGTCAGTGGCTAAGAGAACAGGGTCCTCTGAGGACTGTGGGCCAGTGGCCAATCCTCCCTAGTGTTGGTGGGCCACCAAAGGAGCACCAGGAATAAAGGCTATGGAGCCAACAAACATGGAGTAAGGGCCAGCGGCCCAGAATCTCTGGCATCACATCTATGAAGAATTTTGTCTGATTTCATTGGACAGGGCAGTAAGTGAAAGCAGAATGCCTATAGTAACTGGGAGCCAGGGTACGCCATGCTGGCTATGGGGGAGGGACTTTTTGTAGGTCTGGTGAGCAAAAGACGCACAATTCCACGGACTCATGCATTTGTTCGCTAATGGGCTACTTATCAGGAACCTAGAAAATGAGTTTTTAAGTTACCAATATCAAGTAATAGATTTTACTAATGCTCCTGATTCACCGCTCTGCAGAGAGCCCAGCATCACCATGGGTACCCTGCTATGCCCAAAGGAGCAAGTTCAGTACTACTACAACTCCAGGTTGAACCCTTTGTTGGCAACACATCAGCAGTGGGTTTCCAGCCAGCCATGGATTTTCCCGGTAGTTCTCTTGTTTTATTATTATAAATCACAGAAGAGATCGCTTCAGTTATTCCTACAGTGCACAGAGGCAAATTTATAACACGGGACCAAAAATGTTCTAATGTAGACTTAAAGACATGAACTTGTGCATTGTTAGCCATCCTGCTAAAGTGACTAGGCAGACTACTCTCTACTCTCCTGCCTCTGCATAAGAGAACTCAAGAATCATTCTTGGAAGGCCAATGGCATAGCACACCATGTAGGCTCTGCATACAATACTCAGCACCAAAAAAACACCTAAATAAGATTTACAAAATCTCCTGGTACTGCTGTGATTGCATCTAACACGTAGAACCATGTTCTAGCTTCTCCAACAGGTTCTACGTTGATGGCAAACTCTCAGTCTGAATCTCTTGAAGTCAGGTAGGTGCTATATCGGTTTTATTCCTTCCATGAATAAAAATGATGTGTGGGGCTGTAGCTGGTCATAATAAATACCTGTTGAAGGAGTGAATTATTAAAAAACTATACATACTGCACTTTAACAAATATGAAATCTGAGACTAATAAAGGAAAAGAAAGAGCTTTGAGATCTCTAATCAACTCTTCCTCACCTACAAATAAAGTAGTTTATGTGAAGTTATTTTTTTGGGATACTGTAAGTAGACAGTGAGAAGTGTCACAGTGGGCACTGTGGATGGACAGAGAAGGAAGTAAACTATGAGCCAGGACTAAGACTGTGTCTCCATAGTTTTTTCTAAATCATGGATTCATGCCACCTCTTTCTAACCCTCTAATCCTTTCCTGCTTCCTCACTGATGCCCACCAAGATCTTGGTTTAGCCTTGAAAGTTAGTTACATAATTCACCTCACACAGGGAGAGACCAACCCAAGACTTCTGTTGGAACAAGTGAAGTTTTACCTTCCCCTCAAGCTATTTATAGGGTCAGGAGAGACACAATAAGAACAAGCCTGAGATGCAAATTTCCTTTAGAAGGTGCACAATGTCTATCTGTTGAATGTATTCAAATTTAAAATTGGCCATTCATTATGTTGAGCTGTCGGGGACTCAGGTCAACAATTTCTGACATTGCTAGTGAAGTGGAAGACCCAATACTATTATGGACTACTAAACTCTTTTAGAATATTTTGCTGAGTTTACACACCTATAATATTTAAATGATGGAACTTAACAAAAAAAAAGGGGATACAGATGAATGTCCGTTTTGTATCTGTGCATTCAAAGCGGTTAGGATAGATGTATAGTTACATTCTCTTAATGAATAGAGGGATTTGTTCTAATGGTGTTTGTAAATAGGATATCAAGTCCGCATCTTGTGCAGCAATTAACCACTAGGAAGAATGTATGCAATGTGTTAATTACTGAAACTATCCTACCAATTTGGTTTGTAACTGTCTCACTGTTATTT